CACTTTTAATTTGGGAGAAAAAATAAAGAAGGGGAAACAAAGGAGAAAATGATGAGGTAAAGAAAGAAAAAGCTTTACAGCGTAACATAAAATGAAACAAAACGAGATTAAAAGAGAGGGATGAAAGTTACCCCCTGGACAATCACCCCGCCCCTCCCAAGGCCATTTACCAACGGGACAAATACCCCCCAAAGGACAATCCCTGAAAATTACCACTCCCAAGGACAAGCACCCCCGAGGACAATCACGCCCCTCCCCGAGGACAATTACCCCCCCCCCCCCCGCCCACACACACACACACACCATGTTCACCGTTTGCGCGGCCATTTTAAAATGCGAGAGCAGTGACCAGAAGACGACAGAAAATTCGGTCTAGATCTAGTCCAATAGAGACCAATAGAAGTAAAACCCATAGAGACCATATTCAACGATCAGAATCTTGTTGGACCAATAGAAATCTATATGACTTACATAGCCTTTAATATTATATGGAAACAGACCGACAACATAACCCACAGAAACCGGCGCTTGTTCAAAAGTGTATCCAAACTTTGACCCGTGACTCCGCCTTGGAGATAACCTACTATAACATACCAAAAGTCAACAAATCTTCAACAATTGTTCAAAAAGTGAACATGATTTAAAAGTCGTTACCTTTCTTAGCTGTTTCGTGTCAATTTTTTGTCTTTTTGGAGTATTTTTCATTTAAAACGAAGACATTATGATATGTACTTTCTCACAGGTTTCACTGCAAACCGCTGCACAATACAAGTGTATACCGACGATGGGTTGCGGGCGGATGCTCATGTCTGCGTGTATTTATCGACCTTAAAGGTAATACAAAGTTTTGGGAAATTGTGAAAATTGGGTGGATAGTGATTCTTTACAATTTTGATATATTTGGATGCCCCTGTGGATGTATTAAAAGCACTAGAAAACTTAGCCCCTAAACTACTTCTGCTTTCGAGAAAAATTGAATATAAAAATTTACCGGTGCTCCCGGTAAATTTTGATAAATTTCAAATAGCGCCTACGGCCGTACAGTTGTTTAGTTGATATATATAATTTCCGAACGGGAACAACTAATCGGTAGATTTTAGTCAAGAAATATTGTTTATAGCTTGATTAATATCTTGACCTTGAGAGGGAGCTATACAACATAAAGAGCTTATTATTTACAATTGCATAACTTTAGACTCGATTTCAATCACGACAACGATCATTGAATATTGTAGGACCTCATTATGCATCCAATATGTTCATTTGAACCAAATTCATGACCCCATACCAAAACGTTGTATTACCTTTAATGATGATCTGCCAGACAGAAGATAATAGTTGCCAATTTGAGTATATCGAAAATGCATGAAATTAAATAGAATGGTCTTAATTACAGACTGGTCTTATTCGTTACTATTATGTTATTATTGTGTTGGTGGGGGGGGGGGTATTTATTTACAAAAAATCGGACGTATCGTAGTTGAGAGAGAGTTCCTTAACCTTTCTCGGCTATGATACGTCCGACTGAAATTGAAGTTTGTTTTTCTCTTTATTTAATACAGAGCCTTTATAAAGCGACCCTCTTCCCCCTGTGGCTACGCCAATTATATTCCCTTACTCTTTCTCGACTACGATACGTCCCACTGAAATTCATATTGCTCCGGTTGTCTCATTTTCGCCAGCACAAACGTAGCTAGTTCGCATATATAGCAGACGGCAATCGGCGGATCAGACGACACTTGATAGGGATTTTGTATGTGAGATTGCTTTTCTAAATATAAAATACAAGAATCTTTTCCATATCTTTAAACTATCATTGATATCTGGTAATTAAATAGTTAGTAAAATAAACCTACCAAACTACATAATACAATGAAATACTTGACTGAAGTAGGGGAGTTTGATGTGGTGCACAATTGCACCCCTCTGTTAATAATCGAATAGTCCATGGTGTTCATGAATATTCATGTTTTTGCTTACCTCGGCAAAATGCTTGCCTATAATACTAAATGGAAAAATTACGGTGGTGGGTTGGATGAAATGGACATAATGAACAAATCAGAACTTTGATAATTCATGCTTCTTATCGTTCGTGCGCTTGACTTATAACCTTACAATCGCATGGTAAGTTGAGTCCAAAGTTCGACTTGTTGTACATGTGTTATATAGGCAATGACGAGCTTGCGACCTATTTTGATCAAATTACGGTGGATGAACTTTCAAAAGTCAATGGGACATGAGGGTTCCAATGAAAGAGCTAGTGATAACGTACGTCGGGTGGATGTGCTTTTCGTTTAAACAAAAAATGAATTGTTTTGGGGGTAAAAGTCCATAGGCTAAACGTACATGTTAGGCTGCTGGACTCTGCCGATAGGGGGCGTTCTCAAATGAGACTAAACGGAGCTATATGATCCCTTTTTTTTTCTATGTTCATTGATTGATGTAACTCATGAAATGTCTTGTATCAAAGATCTTGTTTTATATTGCTTAATTTGATAATTATTTGTTATGTGAATTTCTTGTTATGTGAAATTATGAGGAAGGAAATAAAATATCATTTAAAACAAAAAAATATGATGGTTTGTTTCCCGCTTAGGATACCAGATCTTCGCTTCAAGTCTTTATTGAAGTTTGAATGCATACAAAAAACCTTGCAATCACAGAGAAAAATTCAAATGATAAATAAGATCATTCCAGTGTATATCACATCATGCGAAATGACATATTTTCCAATAAATCATATTCTTTTTTAAATACATCACCCAGGTGTTAAATATCAAATACATGTATTTTCTCCTGATTGAGCCTTACAATCGTTTATTGCAAATATGCATACATTTATTACATATATCCAAAACAATAATTTCTGAGAACTAGTCTTCACTGAATAAGATTCCTAAATTAAACATTGAACACAGCTGACATATTTCAACCAAGCTAAAGAAATTTCTTTGACTAACCGTATAAAGAGTCAAGGTCATTAAACACGTTATGTTCTTGAGTCAATTTAACTTTCTTGAAGCAAAAATAGCACAATTCAACATTATACACGTACAAGCCCCCTTGAAAACTAATCTTCTAGAAAATTTAACTTCTTATTTATTGCATTTTTTTTCCATCATACATTTTCATGGACATAATATGGTTTTATACAATATTTTAAGTGTATATAATTTTATACAGATAATAAACGAAATTTGACAGATATATCAAATGCATAATTAACCTACATTAGATGCAGGAGGGTTACAGAAATAAGCAAAGTAGCTTGACGTGCCCGCAGCCCTCAACCTAGATACAACAATTAAAAAAGAAAGAAAAAAAGAGTGACTTGCAGAAAAGAAAAGAAAAGGGGAGAGAAGAAGCGTTGGTAATAATAGGGACTTTTAGATTTGCGTAGAGTGATACGTGTGACGTCCAACTGGATCATTTAGCCATTTCAATTTCCAGGGTTACCAGTTTACATTAACTGGTTCACGCATATATTTTGACTAAAACTATCACTAACGCTTCACGTGTTTCTGTGACTCGATTCTAAAACTTCTAAAGAATGTGATAATTTCGTTTATGAAGATGTAATTTCATAACCAAACAAAAACAGAAGCGTTAGGTTTACAAACCATGGTCTCCAAGGTAGGGATATTCACGTTATTATAATGGTGATATTGCTGTGACAACTGCGTGATATAGTGTACGTGTGTTTTAAGTGACCTAGTGCAATAAACGTATTAACACATTTATGTAAATTTCAGGTGTTTGAAGAACGTAAATCTGCTCAAGTCGATACCTTGATATTGATGTGATTTTCACGTGATTTTGTTAATAGTAAAGATAACGATGATGATAAGAATAATAATAAGAAAAAACATTGTTACTATCATCATCATCATTATCAGTAGCATCGACATCCACATCATCAACATCAGCATCATCCTCAGTATCATCATCAACCTCATCATCATCATTTTCATCATCATCATCATCATTATCCTCATCATCGTCATCATCATCATTATCCTCATAATCATCATCATCATCACCATCATCATCATCATCATTATCCTCATTATCATCATCATCATCATCATCACCATCATCATCATCATCAACACCATCATCATCAGTAGCATAAACATCAACATCATCATCATCCTCATAATTATCACCATAATCATCATCACTATCATCATCATCACCATCATCATCATCCTCATCATCATCCTCATCATCATCACCATAATCATCATCACTATCATCATCATCATCATCATCAGTAGCATCAACATCAACATCATCATCATCATCATCCTCATCCTCATCTTCATCACCATAATCATCATCACTATCATCATCATCATCATCATCATCAATTCATCCCCATCATCATCATCACCATCATCATCATCATCATCATCAATTCATCCCCATCATCATCATCACCATCATCATCATCATCATCAGTAGCATCAACATCATCATCATCATCATCATCCTCATCCTCATCATCGTCATCATCATCATCATCATCATCCTCCTCATCATCATCATCAGTAGCATCAACATCACCATTATCATCATCAGCATCACCATCATCATCACCATCACCATCATCATCATAATCATCATCATCATCACTGTATCATCATCAACATCATCATCCTCATCATCATCCTCATCATCATCATCATCACCATCATCATCATCATCATCACTATCATCATCATCATCATCATCCTCCTCATCATCAGCAGCAGTAGCAGCAGGAGGAGGATAGTAATAGCAGTATTGGTAGTGGCAGAAGTTAATTGATGTAGGGCATGAAGCTTAACATCATGAATTATTTCTGCCACCATTTATTACAAATATGATGATGCAAATTTCGCCTCTCTAAATTTCACCGTTCCATGTGTAATATAAAAGAAATCACACTGTAAATAACTTCCAAAATTATCCTCTTGTTTTCATTTTGAAATGTTATTCATTGTCTTATTTACAGATGATCCGAGAAATACTTATAGCCTCCTTGATGGTGATCATCCACGGGATGGAAGGCGCTGTCGATGTCTGTCTTTCATACGGGATTTGTAATTGCAGTCATCCTCCACCCGTATTTAGAGTTCTAAACCCATCATTTTTTAAAGGTATGTCTATAATATGTTTCATCAAAACTTTGGTACAATTCCTCTAGTTTAAGGGAAACTCGACCGCTATACAGTGCGTCCCAGAAAAAACGAAACCGAGAAGTATCGATGTTTTTTCATAACTTAATCACATCCATAATTAATGAATGATACATATTTGGAAAGCGTAGAGTCTCCTCTTTCAGTTGATGCTACTCGGATGATGAATATGTCACGCATGAGTGATTCAAACCAATTTGAAGAGAGGAAACCGCGAAGTCATTTGGCGGGCGTTATTTGAATTTTAAAAGGAAAATCACATTTCTAGAAATGTCAATTTCTGCCCTTTCTAATGACACCTCAATCAGGAAAAATGAGCCAGGAATAACAAAGTTCTGTTTGTTTAAAGTAAGGCTTGCATTTCCATAATTTGACCAAACGGGTTCGTTTTCACTGGCTGCCTGCCGTAGAAACGAACATAGTTACCAAAGTTCTAACTCCGTTTCGTTGACGATCAGCCATGCACAAAGAAGACAAAAGACCTGATGCATGGCTGATCTTCAACGAAACGGAGATAACTCTTTTTTCAACTCTGATAAAACATCGATAATTCTCGGTTTCGTTTTTTCTGGGACGCACTGTATATCTAGTTGGAATCTAAAAAATGAGAGAGACAGATTACCACAATTTCGATGAAATTCTGACTAAGAAAGATATGTATATGTATTGATGATCTTTATGTTAAAAGCTCACTCCATCAATTGGCAAACTCCGTCTTTCAAGGTTCCATAACCAGCAGTTTCTTACGGTATGTCTTTCATGTGCGTTCTAAAACTTTGGTAATATTATGGGCCACTATGTATAATAAATGATATATGTGCCCCTAGCGGCTTTGGGATTGGATAGGTGAAATTTATTTGACTGTTGGATAAGAATGTACGTCTTCGTTTTTTCTTTAAAAGGGCAGTTAGAGAAGGAGGCAATATGCCGTAGTAAAGACTTAAGAATGCAGTCTTTAAAACGTTAATATGAATATAGTTTCATTTTTCTGGTAATGACTCACAGGTAAGGAAGTGTCTGATCCAGAGTTAATCTTTTAAAGACCGTCAATACTACTGAGCTAGAAGGGATTAGACCAACCAGCCAGGTCACTGACAGGTGGCTATTTCATCAACTCAGCTCTCAACTAACATAAAAAAGAGAGGATCACGGGGGACCAACAGGCACCGATTGGGGAAGTTTTTCTATACAGAGGGAGCAAGTAGCTACAAGTAGGACAGTGTAGCTTTAAAGGATTTCAATTTGACTGTTCCTCCCATAGAAATCATCTGTGAAGACCCAGGAGTCCCAGTGAATGGCTACAAGACAAACGCGAAGCTTGTATACCATCTGAATGACACGGTCTACTTTCACTGCAACGACGGGTACACAATGAATGGAAGTATATCCAACTTTTGCACTGAGTCTGGAGAGTGGGCTCACCCTGTGCCCGTATGTGGTGGTCAGTATATAGGGGGGGGGGGGGGGGGGGGGTCACAAACTTATCTCTAAGTTGGACTTACAAATTATGGAAAGCCGTTAGCATCAACTAACATATTTTGTTAAAGTTATTTTAAAAGGGATAAAATGTTGATTCAAATCATTCATATTTACTAATATCAAGGAGATTTCATGTTCTTCATGTGGAATTTGTAAAAAGTCTAAAATACTTGAATTTTCGCTTTTGAATATATGTTATTATAAGGCTACACATGGCTCTCCATAATATTTAAGTCCAACTTAGAGTTAAGTTTGACTTGGGATCTTTGTGAAACACCCCCTGGTTGATTAGTTTTCTCTGTATTGAGTACATGACGTTTAAAACAATCCCCACTGAAAGCGTATAGTATGTGATGGGAATAAAACATTTGACCCAGCTGAGCTGAAATGCTCTTGAAGTGTTGAGTTACTTCAAGTATTAAACACAGGCCCTTGGGAGGTATTCTGAGATTTATTTTATTTCAAAAGGAAGAGGCAGAGTACCGAAGCTGTGACGTCATGAAAATCTAATTTCTCAATTTTGCCTTCATTTTCCGAAAGAGCATCAAAAATAATGTCCAAATGTCGAAAACCAATTGAATATGTTAAAGGTAATACAAAGTTTTGGTATGGGGTTATGAATTTGGTTCAAATGAACAAGTTGGAAGCATAAGCGATCCTGCAATATTTAGTGATCGTTTTTCGCGGTCGAAATCGAGTCTAAAATTATGGAATTCTAGATAATTAACTCTTTATGTTGTATAGCTCCCTCTCAAGGTCAAGATATCAATTACGCTATAAAACAATGTTTCTTGACTAAAATCGACCGATTAGCTATTCCCGTTTAGAACTTTTATATCACAACTACATAGTCTGAGATTTTCATGTTTGAAGCTACCATTATACGGCCGTAGGCGCTATTTAAAAATTTATCAAAATTTACCAGGAGCACCGGTATATTGTTATATTCAATTTTTCTTGAAAGCAGAATTGTTTTAGGGGCTAAATTTTCTAGCGCTTGTAACACATCCACAGGGGCATCCAAATATATCAAAATTGTAAAGAATCACTATCCACCCAATTTCAAAATGTCCCAAAACTTTGTATTACCTTTAAGTATTGGCTGAGATATGACCATTTGAATGAAAAGATTTCCTATAGGAACTCAGTGTTATATGCTCAGGCTCCTAATGGTTAGTAAAAACAAATTTGAGAAATTCTGAAAATAGATTTTTGATGACGTCACACTTCACCACTCAATACTATTTTTCAATTTGTTGCAGCTATATTCTTCCAAGATGGCCGACATGCTAAATATAGCTGGCCCAATGTATATTTATTCACAGATATCGTGCTATTTGAGTATACTGATAATTTAAGAAGCTATTTATACAAAATGTATATCACAGACTTTTTCGGGGGGGGGGGCTTTGGTGGGCTTTTTTCTAAATTCTTTTTCACCCAGAAGAGTCGAGAAACAAATAATTGTTGCAAAGCTGATTTATGTAGACTTTTAGAAAACTCTTGACTGCTAAAGGTGAACATTTTTTAACAACTTTTCTTAGATATTGACAAATGCACTGTGAATCCATTGTCCTGTGATTCTGTAAATGGAATATGTATGAACTCGGTCGGCTCGTACATCTGTTTACTTAACTCTGGATATGAATTAAGCGATGATGGCATTACTTGCAATGGTAAGGTTGTAATGTCAAATTAGTGTCACCTTTTGGTGACATCTTTACCAATCTTTAGATTCATAATGCTCTAAATTACAAGTTGTACATGATCATAAAGTCCAAAAGACACTAGAAAATTTAAAGCCACTTCTGGAATACTACACTACGCCATTAATAAAACCGATTTCATCTCATATAGGCATTCTACTTTCTAAATTTGCAATGGAGAGTGAAATTTGTAATCACTATTTTCGTTTACAAATTTGCAATTTCTCCTTGATTTGTTGTAGTTTTCATTCACACTCTTGGATTTAACATCCATTTTTACTTTAATACTCCGTGAAAGAGTCGACATACGAATAATTGTTGCCAATCTAAGACCCCTGTTACAGTTAGCAAAAGGCCGGGCCAGGCCGCGGCCTGGCCTAGCACTGTAAACGCGCAAAAGGCCAAATGCGAGGCCAAACTGGCCCCGCATTTGGCCCTGCTCTGGAGGTAGTCTCGGCCGCGGCCAGACCTTGGCCTGGCCCGGCCTTTTCTCACTGTAAACGCACCAAATACGCGGCCAATTGCGGGGCCAACTGTTACCCCGCAATTTTGTGCGTTTACAGTGCTAGGCCAGGCAATTGGCCGCACATTTGGTGCGTTTACAGTGAGAAAAAGCCTGGCCAGGCAACGGCCTGGCCCCGGCCGAGACTACCTCCAGACCAGGGCCAAATGCGCGGCCAGTTTGGCCTCGCATTTGGCCTTTTGCGCGTTTACAGGGCCCGGCCTTTTGCTCACTGTAACAAGATCTAAGAGGAAAGCTGATGCATCTAGACTTCAAGACATTTCTTGACTGCTATGGGTGAACTAATGTTAGCTTTTCCTTGATATTGACGAATGCACTGTGGATCCATCGGTTCTATGATTCTGCAAATGGAATGCGTATTTTTTTATTTATTTATTCGTTTTATTTAAACAGGGTAACTCTCTCAGTATAAATAGTTTTTCTGAGAGGCCCTGTACACAAGAAATGATTACAAATACATGAAATAACAAACAGTGTAAAAAGACGTACACATGATTATATATATATCAGAATTAATTGTTTGTTTTGTTCATAGTTATTTGAGAAAACTTCATTTACCCCACCTCAACCCTCTCTCTCTTTCTCTCTTTCACCTCTCTCTCTCTCTCTCTCCCTCTCTTTCTCTGTTTCTTTCTTTCTCTCTATGTGTCTATTTTCTTCCCTCTCCCCCCTCTCTCTCTCTCTCTCTCTCTATTTCACGTTTACTTTTATGTTTATAGAATATGTTACAACGTAAAGCAACATCTTGTTCTCGGCCATCCGCTCAGGCGTCAAAAGCTAGGATTTAGATATCATTTGGTGATTTGTCTAGTAAGATTTGTTAAATTTGGGTAAATATGAATTTAACTTTTATTTTTCCCCAAGTCGAATCCTCAGGTTTATATATATATCATATTTCTTCTTCAGAATCAACTACTACGCAAGACACCACAACGATGTCAACTACAGAACCCACCACCTCACACCCTACCACAACGACTCGTAAGAAAACTTCATTTACACCACCTCTCCCTCTTTCTCCTTTTTTCTCTCACTCTCTTTCTCTCTTTCATCTCTTCTCTCTCTCTTTCTTTCTCTCTTTCTTTCTCCATCTTTATGTGTCTATTTTACTATCCCTCCCTCTCTCTCTCTCTCTCTCTCTCTCTTTCTCTTTCTCTCTATCTCTCTATCTCTTCCTCTCTATCTCTTTCTCTCTTTTCTTTCTCTCTCTTTCTATACCTGTTTTTTCTTTCTTTCTCTCTCTCTCTTATCTCTTTTTTCCTTCTCTCTCTCTCCCGCTGTCTTTCCCTGTTTTTCTTTATTTCTCTTCGAGTGTCTATTTTCTCTCTCTGTCCCTATCTCTCTTTCCTAAAAGGACGTCACACGTAGCAGTCCACCATGTCGACGTGCAAATCTAAAAGTTCCTTTTACGATAAAACGTAAAGCAACTTCTTGTACTTTGTCATCTGCTCAGGCGTCAAAAGTTGGAATTAGATATCACGTGACAATTAAATTTGGGTACATGGAATTTAACTTTTATTTTGCCCCAAGTTGTATCATCAGGTGTATGTATCATATTTCTTTTTCAGTAGCAACTAGTACTACGCAAGACACCACAAAGATATCTACCACGGAACCCACCACCTCATCACATCCTCCCACAACGACTCGTAAGAAAACTTCATTTACATAACCTCTCTCTCTCTCTCCCTCTCTCTCTCTCTCTCTCTCTCATTCTATCTCCGCCTTTTCTTTCTCTCTCTGTGTCTAGTTTTCCTCTCTCTTTCATCTCTTTCATCTCTATGTCTTTCTTTCTTTCTCTCTCTCTCTTTCTTTCTCCCTCTCTATTTCATATGTGAGCAAATATAAATGAGTAAAACGAATCTACTCTCTGATTTCAGTAGACCATCCTCCAAACTTATAAACATTCCCAGAGTTAAAATTTCCTTGTTTTCCCTTCTTATTAACTGAGTCATAGCATACAATGTCACAACTAGCTTCACACATCACGCGATATTCAACGAGCCTGTCTCGACCCTAAGAAGTTTTGGAGGTTCGATCCGCTTGCCTCATTCTAACATTTAGAGCAAAAATGTGTATAAGTATCTAGTATCAAGTATCAAGTTTATTTGTCTTCCAGAAAACACATGTGACAAAATATAATAGAGTATAAAAAATAACAGTACAATGTAGAATAAAGGAAGACAAGGAGACCTTGATTGAAGCACAGCTTGTTAAGTTAAGGCCCCCTCATATGATGTGACAAAGATAACTTACTCATGAATACAACAACAAATATGGAATATATAAAACTATTTACAAAATACTCTCAGAGAACAACTACCCAACGATGCATCGACCACAGCATAGATGACTACAACAAGTATACCCGAAGATGCGCACATCCCCATCACACCGGGTGAGCTAACAAGCTCGCCGTGTGTGTGAAAATATGTAACATAATGTGCAAAAAACCAACCCACCCATTAGAGGGCGATCTAATATGGACAAACCCAAGCTGACACCAAGTCGAGACATCAATGAGTTATTGCTCTTTGAGTGCAGAGGTCAAGTAGGAATATATGGTATATGAACAGATGGGAAAGAAGAAGAAAAAAAGAAAAGGGATAAAGGGGGTTATGTCAAAGTCAAGAATTAACGAGATCAAGAGTAGAGTTAAATATGCTTCAGTACACAAACAATAAAGCTTGATAACACATTCATGTGTCATCGACATACTTGTGAAGAAAATATGACTTAAGTCTACGTTTAAAAGCTGAGATACTTGAAGCATTTGTTATAGTATAGTATCAAGTGGGTTCTAGAACCTGGGGCCCGTGGACATTAGTGTATTCAAAGTGAAGGTTGTCCTTGCATATGGTAAATGGAGAGCAGAAGTCTGTCTAGTATTATAGGTGTGAATTTGGTTATTTCTTCTAAAGATTTGAGCAAGGGCAGGAGTGAGGTCTCCAGAGTGAATGCTAAAAATGAGTATTCCAAGTTGCATTGAATAGAGATCTTCTAGTTTTAGAATACTGTTTTCATAATAAAGTAGATTTGTATGTGCACGATAATTCGCTTTACAAATTATTCTAATAACCCGCTTCTGCACAACGAAAAGCCTGTGGATTTGAGTTTTCGATGATTTGCCCCATGCCAACATACCATAATTAATATATGACAAAATAAGAGTAGAGTACAAAATGAACAATACCTCTTGAGGTAAACATGATCTCAACTTATAAATAACACCAGTATTTTTTGACACCACTTTACTTAATTTGTCCACATGAGTTTTCTAATTCAGTTTCTCGTCTATGTATATTCCAAGAAATTTTGTTGAAGTTACTCTCTCAATTGGGTTATAATTAAATATCACTTCGCCTGGCAAAATATTAACTGAATTACTGAACAGTATATGATTAGTTTTCTGAAGATTCAAGGACAACTTATTAATCCACTTCATTACTTTTCGAAACTCTTCATTAACAGTTTTCAACAATGTTTGTGGACATTTATCAGAACAAAATACACTTGAGTAATCAGCAAAAAATATGAATGATAATACACTTGATGAGCGTTGAAAATCATTAATATACAAGATGAATAAAAGTGGTCCCAAAATGGATCCCCGGAGAACACCACATGTTACTTTTTGGGGACTAGAGTTAATTCCTTTTAAGGACACATATTGCTTTATATCAGTAAGATAACTTCTAAACCAATCCAAGGCGACTCCCCTGACACCATAATGACATAATTTACTTAAGACAATGTCATGGTCTACGGTATCAAAGGCCTTGGAAAAGTCTAAAAATGTACCGATGGTGTGTAAGCGACTATCTAAGGCAGAAGCAAGTTTATCTATAAGGTGTAAAATTGCATGTGTTGTTGTATGCTTCTCCCGAAAACCAAACTGATAATTACTGAAGATACATGTTTTGTTTAAAAATGTTATAGTCGTTACATACATATTTTTTTCCAGAATTTTTGAAAAACAGGTTAACAAAAAAATCGGACGATCATTTTTCAGTATAAATTGAGAGTTACCTTTTTTAAAAATTGGTACAACTTTTGCGATCTTCATGTTTATCGGTACAACTCCGCTTGACATAGACAAATTAAAAATATAAACTAGTGGTTGAAGGATACCGACAATAACTTGCTTAATAAGTTCGTTCCCAATATGATCATACCCAGGACTTTTCTTGTTCTTGAGGGCTCTAACAATACCAAGCAATTCTTCGGGGCACCAAAAATTAACTGTGCATGTTAGGTTCTCCTAAGTAATCATGAAAATCAGTTTGACTGTTCGGAATATTTTTTTTTCAGATTCGGACCAATATTACAAAAATATTCATTAAACTTTTCCACTATAATATTTTTTTATCTTCAACCACTTGGTCATCTATATTCATTTGTATTATACTTGTTACTTTAGATGCTTTTTGAAATACATTTCTTATCACCTTCCACGTGCCCTTGATATTATTGTAAGTTGCTTGAAACTGTGCTAAATAGTATTGTTTTTTGGCTGCACGCAGAACAGAAGTCAGAGTATTTCTGTAAACGGAATATTTCCTTTTTAGAGCTTCTGTCCCCGCTTTCTTATACTTATAAAACAGCTCATTTTTCTTATTTATTGATTTCAGCATAGCATTGGTGACCCACGGCAAACGTGGAGTTCTTCTACGGTTGTTTTTACTCTTTACTACTGGAATATAATCACTGTATTAAACATAATTATGATTTCGAATCGATCTAAAAATATAGTGTAGCTCTGAAAGGAATGAGTTGTTATTTCCCAATCAAGACTTAATTATATTCCTATTTATTTGAACAATAGTCCATATGAAAGCTTTATACAAAATCCTAATTATTCGTACATAAAGATTATTCAGGTTCATTCGGTTTATTTCAGAAATTATGTGACAGAAATACTCTCCAAACCGCGTTGTTCAATTAAACATGAATTTGTAATTACTGTGATTCTAATTTCCATTATTACATTAAGAAATTAAATATCACGTAATGGTTGAAAGGTGAAATTGTTTATTTTATTCCGGGTATGGTAGTATTAAACAACTGCTACAAATACATATAACTTTTGAAGTAATAACCATATTTTACGTGAAAAATGTATTTGCTATAACTTCAACTGGGTTATATGAACAATCGGAAAAGCCAAATTCCGCTAATGCTAATTAGGTCTCCATTATGAGATATTTCATCTATTACTTCTGATGACTTATACAATAAAGCTCTTCTTGTACACAAAAAGCTTGTCTCCGGCACAAGCTACAAGATTCCCAGAAGGAGTTACGAGGCATGGGCTAGGGACAGAACATCGGAATGATAGCTCGAATTCCATGATCAAACCATCAAGTGACACCTGATCAACTGCGTAGATAGTACGCTCGTCATCCCAGTGTGCGATGAAGAGTGTGTCTGTCAGTTTGTCAACGCAACACCATGCTGGCCAGAACCACTCATTAGAGTGTACGACATTCTTCTCTTCTCCTGATCGTTGGATGAAAGTGAATTCATTTTCACCTGTCTCCACAATGATATCACCTGATGATATCACCTGTTCATCCACATGAATTGATTCAGTCCGATAGGTCACCAGATGTCAAGTTTAGACCTTTTCGCGATTCATCGGTGCGCTCTTTTGGTCAATGGATTACCGTCCACCAGTGGGAAGAATTGTGTAATTTGGACGATCCAGATTATGAAGTCAACGTTTTACTCGACACCCTTATGAGTAAGTACAGACAATGCTTCCCAGAAATTACTGTTAAGCGTAAGAGTAGGGACAAACCCTGGCTCAATAATATAATTAGACAATCCATCATAAAACGAGATGCTGCTTACAAACAAGGAAGCATGGATACCTATCGAAAACTTCGAAATAAGGTTCAACGAAACATCAAATATGCGAAGTCGAGTTACTACAAAAATAAGATTGAATGTCTGAAACACTCCGAACCTGGAAAGTGGCATCGCCAGATACGTTCTCTCGTTGGTTTCACCAAATAGCCTTTGAAATTTTCAAGTGAAAAATCTCCTCAACAAGTAGCTGATGATTTGAATTCATATTTCACTGGTATGTGTACGCAGTTACCTCCTTTGAATTTGTCAACTTTACCTGCGTACCTTCCGGCGCCATCATCACCCCCTGTGATCCGGGATAATGAAGTGTATGCTCGTCTCAAGCGTCTCAATGCTTCGAAGGCCGTTCATCCGCATGATATTCCCGTCCGTTTAGTTAAAGAGTTTGCCTTAGAACTTTCCGCGCCCCTTACCAAGATCTTCAACCATTGTCTACGCTCCGGATGCTTTCCCCAAAAATGGAAGAATGCCTCAGTGTGTGCAATCCCGAAGGTTCCTCGAGCGTCTGAATTTTCTCAACTCCGTCCGATATCCATCACTTCTGTTTTTGCTAGAGTCTTTGAGAGTTTTTTGGCGGACTGGATAATGTCAGATTTGAAATCCCACATAGATCCTTCTCAATTCGGAAATATTAAAGGTAGCTCTGTTAATCATTATTTGATAAGTATGTTAGACGTCATCCAAAGTAATCTTGACAAACAGGGATGTCCTGTAAACCTTTGCACAGTAGACGTCATGAAGGCTTTTGATCTAGTTAATCACAGAATTGCAATTGAAAAGCTCATTGGAATAGGTGTAGACGCCTCTATCCTACCAACTGTGTGCAGCTTTCTCAGCGATCGCTCTCAAACAGTGAGGTACCAGAGTAAAACCTCAACATCGTTGAACCTCACTTGCGGCGTCCCCCAAGGGACCAAATTGGGTCCGATCATTGTAATGCAGTTATATCAACTATTTATTTATCTATTTATCTCTCTCACTGTTTATAGCTGTGGTACTTTGTTGAGATTACACGTAAAAATGCAATGATCTTCAATGATTATCTATAATGCAGTTCACTTTAATTTGCAAATTTATTTATCATGGATATTCCCTGTTCTTTGATCTTATTTTTCACTTTTCTATACTCCCTTTTTTCTTGTCTTCCCTCTTCCCCTCTCTTCTTCTATTCGTATCTGTTTCCTCTCTATCGTTTATAAGATGCATGATTTCTCTATTCCTTGAAATGTCAGTAGGGGTCATCACAATTTTCTTTTTTCCTTTTTTTGTCTTTCTTTCTTTCTTCTTTCTTCCCCCTTATAAGCAAATAGTTTTACTGTGTATCACTATCCGTTTACATGCAAGTGTATTGCCTTATTGTGTATTCTCAATTCTTTACTTGTATAATTATTCTCTTTAACACGTTGTTGACATATTGCACCTTTCCTCTAATAACTTTGATTTTATTGTTCTTCGATGTAATATACCCATATTACTTTACCTCGTGCAATATCTTTTTGATAATATTATCCTTGTACTTTTAGGTTGTTACATTACGTGCTTTATCATGTTACTCATGCTTTGTGTGAAACCCCTTCTCCTTCCTCTTCTCTTAGGTCCTCATCTTTTTCTTTTTTCTTTCTCTTTTCTTACCCCTTTCCTCAGCTATTATCACCTTTTCCCTCTTTCTTCTTTCTTCACACAATACATTTCTAGTTCCGTCTTTCTCTTTCTCTTTTTCTCTCTCTCTCTCTCTCCCTTTTTTTTTGATGACACAGATGGTTTTTAAGGTTTTTAATGTTTATAATATTTGTAATATATTTGAATTTTAACGTAATATTTGTAATATATCTCGAGTTTGATGTAATATTCGTAATATATTTAGATTTTGATTTAATGTTTGTAATATATTTAGATTTTGATGTAATATTTTATTCTCATTTTGCATAATTTATAGTCGTACGTTTTAGTCATTCATATTTTGTTCGTTTATTGTGTATATTGACTTTGTAAATTGAATTATTTCAGCTTCCCAGCTGCATGTTCTTTTATTTCAATAAACCGAATCAAATCAACAAAAAAATGACAAGGCTTGTATCTTACCAAGCACCTTCTTGCCATGCATCGCAATAGTGTCTACTATCTTACCATCATCAGGGTTGATGAGGTAGATATTAGACTGATTGTACTGAGCAGCGAGGATCATCCCATCCCTGTCAACATCAACGTTCACTTCTACAGTAGAGCGGTTATTCCTCCGTATGGTGATGTCTCTAATCACCTTCCATTGTCTGTCATAGAGAGTGATGCATCCATCCAATCTGTCACCCGTGTAACCTTCCATCTCCTTACCACATACTATTAAGTTGCTGTATATGGGGGCGCATGAGGTAATACCCACGTTATCATCTCCTTCAAAGACTTTCTGTGTGTGCTTAGTGCTGATATTTGTAACATACGTGGCATTGCTTTTTACGTCCCGCACACATATCTCATCATTACTGAGCAAACCACACACCGTCGGTGTATTAACAATCGGTGGAATGTAGATTGACTTGACAAGCTCCCATTTACCCATATAGACATCAATTCTCCCGTAGCATCCCCCACCTACTTCACCCTCGACAAACTGCACTCTCTGAACTTCAAGCTGTATTCTGTCAAGACAGTCGCTAACATCTTGATGAACATTCAAATTTAAAATGTCATCTAGGGATGCAAGTACTTGAGGAACTTCATTCACCAATGTTTTGTCATCTTGTTTGATTCGTTTGATCTTGGCCTCAACATTATCCATATTGCTGATTGCATGCTGATTCTTACTTGTGAGATCGTTTATCTTTTTAGCAACCACCTCGCTGATTGCCTTTGTCTCTGATTCGACTTTTGCTTGGCTATCTCTGATGGTTAGTTGTTGTTGTTCTGCTTGTTCATGACATTTTTTAATCCGTCTTTCCCTCTTTTCGTTAATTATTTGTATTTCTTTTTCCACCTCCTCGTCGATCGAACGAATCGTTCGTTTCTTATTGTCTTTCACAATATTTAATTTGTCTTCGAATGCCACTTTAAGTACATTGTTGACTGATTGAAAATGGTTACTTGCAGAGATTGCAGTGGACTCTAGTTTAGAGTCAAGCGCTTTCACTTGTTTCTTCATTTCCTCTATCTATTGCTGCTTTTCATCCAGTTTTCTCCTTCTCTCCAAGATGACATCCTCGATGTCGTCTAGCTCACATGGTTTCTTGCCGTGATCTTTGGAAGCGCATGGATGACAAACGGGGATTCTGTGTTCTTTGCAGTAAAATTTGATTGGCTCCCTGTGTTTATCACATGACCATGTCATGTCATGACCTTTTCTAGTGCGTAGCTTGACCTTTTCGTCTTTCTTTCCTGGGAAATTGGGCGCCATGATGAGAAGCAAATGCAAGCAAATAACCTGCATCGTGAACAATGATACAAATTGAACTAGAGATAGGTAATAATGACTTTCGGAGAAAACATGATAGAAAAGCGGATCAGGCAAGAAAATCAGACAAAGACATGAATGATTGGACGTTAAATAAAAGTGAGAAGCCGAAGAACATATTATGATATCAGGCATTCCCATTATTATTTCTTCTTTTATTCTGATTACGCGTCAGTTCGATACGACTTAAAGTAAAGGTTAAAGAGATGAATAATACACGCTGATCATTGCAGTCAAACTGTACAGCGTGTTTCTGAATTAAAGCCCAATCGAGAAGACAGCCAATTTCTGATCGAAGTTGCTGATTTTATGTTATAATAATTAAAATTATCAATTTTCACCTAAAATAAAACGTACTTACGAGTAATTTCTGTGAATTTTGCCGTTGCGAGGACCTTTTTTCTACTGAATAAGTAACGATGTAGTATAGTGTACCCTTTGATTGTATGCAACTGACAAGAGAGGTGCAGTGCGTATTGTGAAATATCAGGTAGTTCATGTTCCGCCATATATATATATCTACTCAATCCGGTGATATATTCAGACCAGAATCTGCCATTGTTCCGCTTAAGTCTATAGGCACACAATGGAATGACGTTATCATATGAACGAGATTCCCCCTCCACATTCAAGCGATGTATGCTACCACCCACGTAGAAAATATGAGTGTACAAATAGAAAGGAAGAGAAATACAAATTAGATCATAACTACGTAACTACACGGGAACAGCATTTGTCTGTGGCTCTGAAGCTTTTTACAGAGCAATTAACGTAAATTCAACTGTAGGCAATTTGCTAATGTGAAGAGTTGTGTACATTGTTCAACAAACATTGATGAAAGTCATGGTGATCAGAAGAAGTTATTCAGTAAAGTGAAAGGGCTTCTCAACCAGGCGCGTACGCATGGGGGGGGGGGGGGGTTAACCCCTCCCCCTTGAGTTTTTTGTTTATGTATGTTGTGTATACGTTTTGGGGGAAACCCCTCCCCCCCCCCCCCCCCTTTGAGTTTGTTTTTTGTTTTTTTTGTTTTTTTAATAAAATATTAAAAAAAAAAAAAAATATGCCAATGGCTGACCTAAAAAAGGTGACCCTTAAAAAGGTGACCCCCAACTTAAGTGTTGCCAATTTACCTGCGTATTGTTTTGTAGAGGTGTCGTGGTCGAGTGGATACGTCGCCGGACTGTCGATCACAAGGTCCGCGGTTCGAGTCCCGCCGCAGCACTAATGTCCTTTGGCAAGACATTGATCTACATTTGCCACACTCAAACCAGGTGATGTAAATGGGTACCTGGCAGGAATGAATTCCTTGAAATGCTGGAGCGCTGTAATGGCAGCTAGTCTAAAGCCGGGGTAACAACAAATGCGCCTCGGAGTAGAATTTCTCGACAGACGGCGCCATACAGTGTGAGTCAAAAATCGACTTGCGCCAAAGTGATGCTTACAGCGTGTTGTTCGAATTAGCGAAGTGAGAGAATGTATCAAATGAATTGCATTGCATATGCTTTTTGCAAAGTCACACACGCACACACACGCGCGCACAAATGTTCATTGATATTTGATATTCGATATTTGATATGTGTGGCATGATTAATTTTGTTAGGGATGTTATTTGGATCTACAAAAACCGATTTAATACCCAAATCCCAACTGTTTTATTTAACCATCACATAAACAACATTGGCGCAAGTCGAATTTTGCACTCTCGCAAAAAATGCCTCCTGTTCATCCAAGCGTGAACACATACCACACAAAAATGATACCAAATGATTTGGGATAAAACACTCTTTCATAAGATGTATAATAATTTACTGAACATAGATGATTCTTAAAAATAATTAGCAATTTTCTAGGTGTAAACTTTTTTTTGACTCACACTGTAGAAATGCCTATTATCATTATTATTATTATTATTATTATTCTGACTTCTACAGTCAGGACGTGTACCTGGCCTGGATACATTCCTGAAGTTGTTCAGTATGTGAACGGACTTGAGACGAACAAACTTGCTACTTATTATGATGAGCTTCCTGAAGGGACGTTTCTAGTGTCTCGTTGCACCTTTCCCGGAGAGTATGTGTTGCGTGGTAGTTCAAATAGAACTTGTTCTGATGGTAGCTGGGCAGGGGAGCAACCGAGCTGTGGTAAGACAACATACCCAAATTTGACATTAAAGCCCCACCGCCTATTTGTAGCTACTTGCTCCCTCTATATAAAAAAACTTCCACAATCGGTGCCTGTTGGTCCCCCGTGATCCTCTTTTTTTCATGTTCGTTGAGAGCTGAGTTAATAAGATAGCCACCTGTCAATGACCTCGCTGTGTGGTCTAATCCCTTCTGGCCCAGTAGTGTGAAGTTCTTTAAAGCTTATCTGTCCTAGTTTATAGGAGGGACTAGACTACCCTGCAAGGTGGTTATCTCATCAACTCAGCTCTCAATTAACATAAGGAAAGGAGGAACATTGGGGACCAATGGTCATCGATTAGGCATTGTTTTCTATATAGAGGGAGCAAGTAGCAACAAGTAGGACAGTGTGGATTTTTTTTTTTTAATGTTGTATTGCTCTTTGCGACCGACTAAAATTTAAAAAATAACTGATTTTTTAGAGAAAACAAAATATTAAGGAATTAAAAACTGAGAAACATCAGCCCAAAGAAAAAAAAATTAGTTTAAAAAAGAAAAGATTTCCGACCGACCGACCCATGTTAATGGACCTAAAGGACAATACAACATCTTTTTTAAAGGCCCTATGGGGATCATGTAGGCCCAATATGTTTTCAAGCTGGGCAAGGCTACTCATCAAAATATTTATTTGCTAGTCCTTATAAGACGTCTCTCTCCCAAAAATGAAACATTTAGAACTGATGTGGTGTAAACGATTATATATTAATCTGGATTTTTAGAGCATTCAATATGAAAAATATAGAATCTAAACGATTTACAGATATTATTGCCCCGGTCGTCGAATTCGTTCACGAACAATGTGCACCATCTCCACTCCCTGGGGAGTATTCCTACTGTATGGTCACCATGATGCAAAGAATATTAGGGGGAAGTTTACTTTACAAGAAGGCATGCACAGACATTATTCTAGAATTAACTGGATGTTGTTCATGAGTTAGATTTTTTATTACACCAATTTATGGAATTATTTTGACAATGATTTATTCCTAATAGATCTAGATAATAGTATACATTCTCAGATTGTATTGAATAATAATTTGCCAGTGTTTGTTATGCGTGACTTCTAAAGCATGTAAATGCTACTATGCTTTTCAACTAGGGGACCTACGCTCTGAAGTCATAAATGGCAGTAATGAGGATTAATGCCCCACAGAAGGGCACTTATATAGCAAATCGACAAGGTTTCGATCCTGGTGCCTCACAGTTATGAGGCCATTGCTTTGCTACTGAACCATGACTGTACGCAACGGGGGCTAGGGTAGGGGGCAGTTCCCACAAATAAAAAAAATCAAAGAAATGCAATAAATTATGAATAATTCATTGAATCCCCCCCCCCCCGGTCCCCAACAGAAACAAATCTGCTGTGTGTTCATGCCTTGAGCCATAATGCATGGATTTTTTTTTAATGTGGAATGGGTGTATTGCTCAGTGTTAGTACGCACTATTGGTGTAAGCAGTAGACTTTTGCCTGTGGACTGTCATTCTTTAGCCTGCCATAAGGCTGCATGCACGCTATCGTTATACTGCTTTGTCCATGCGAGAGAGCTATCGCTTGGGTGCCATGTGCGTGCAATACAGCATTTGTAATAGCAGTTATTGTTCATGCTCATCGGACTGTGCTGTGTGTTTTGCACTCGCTATTCATAGAACCATCGCGTTAATCAGATTATCTCCAAAACAACCTGGAACGGGGGGATTTGGGGCTTGGCACAATGAGGATTAACCCTGTGGCATGATAAGAGTTAACATTTTTTTCCCATTATTATTCTTTTCCAGTTCCTGCAGACACCAGAATCGTCTTCAAAGACTACAGGCCCCTTGAATTCAGGAGTAATGGAACAATCATCATCCAGCCTCGCAGTCAGCTCATCATTTATTGTCACGTGCCTTCCAATAAGGTAGCAAGATTTGAATCACAGAATGGCCTGGTGAGCATATATTGGCTGTAGTCACTATGAACATGACGGACAAAGAAAGAGGACAAAATATACAGTTCCTCAGGTAGACAAAGGAACATCCCCTCACTGCTATTATGTAAAAAATTAGCAAAACAGGTGAATATGCATGTGACACCTGTTCTACACATTTGTACATAATAGTAGTGAAGGGATGTTCCTTTGTCTACCTGAGGAACTGTATACTTTGTCCTCTTTCTTTGTCCGTCGTGTTCATAGTGATTGGTATCATCAAACCCTAAACAAAAAAGCAGACGGACTGATGAAAATTCCTTTCAACTTGTTGGATGTGTTACGTCAATTGTTGCTGTTATTATCGGTAGAAAAATTCATAGGAGAGTTGGGTCTTTGCAGTGGGTTAGGTATTCAGAACAATATTGTGTACAAACAAGAATAATAAAGAATGATGATCATCATGATGAAAATCCTATTGTTTCTTGGGAGGCCTATAGGTTTTCTCTGCCTGCAAACGTACGTAGAGGGCAGTGATTATATCGTTCAATCGTTAACAACAGGACATGAGAATTTCCTGCTAATGACCATGTCTACTAAATGACTCATTTTTTCACTACATATGTCCGTCTGATGAGGCTGTACGATGTATATGTATATACACAGCCCTATTGGGGATTATACCAGATGCGATAATACACTGGTTCATTAGAAATGACAATATAAGGTATGGATATGTCATCTGTTAAGAGCCAGAAGAGCGTTGACTCTGTGTAAAAGTATATGGGAGGTATTCCGGTAGCGCGTACTAAGTTAGCGCGTACTAAGTTAGTCTACACTTTTATGGAATGCCTGTTGCCAACTCATTCACCAAGTACAGATTATTTTAATCCTTCAATGAAAAGTGTCCAAAAAATTAATTTTTAAATAAAATGGGAAGAAAAAGATAATATGAGTATGAACTGAATTTCAACAAAGTCTTTGGTAGATTATCTTTGTCATGAATATTGAAGGAGGAAGATGAAACCTAGCATTCCATAGAAGTGTGAACTAAAATTCTTGTTTAGTCTGGACCTAGTCCCGGCTTAACTTATGAGAATACCACCCTATGAATTTAACAATGTCCTTCTGGTTCCAAACAGACGGTATAAAATCAACTTCATTTTATGTTGCTTTTTTTCTTTCTGCAGGATGCTGTATATTTGGCTAAATATGGCCCATCAACAATGGTCATACGTCTAAGCCCACCACGTACGTCACATTCTGGGCGGTTCACTTGCCGGTCTGATAACTCTACTCTTTCTCACACTGCCTATGTTCAGTTTGCTGGTAATTAGATGAGTTATAACAGTTCTGATGTATGGATTTGAAGCTTGGACCCTGACATCAGACCTAAGAAAGCGACTGGAAAGTTGTGAAGTTTGGTTCCTGAAGAGTTGTGGCCCTCCATGGTCGCCAACGTCTCAGGGTATGGCACGTAGAGAGAGAGAGAGACAACATCATCCCTTTACAAATTATTCTATTATTTCTGGAGTGGTATTCTAAAAATAATCATTTTTTTAACAACATAATAAAGGACCAGTCGCTTGTTTATCATTACAAAACATTATAACAACCCTCCCCAAAGAACAAAAACTCAACATATAGAGACAATTGAATCGTGAGAATTAGGGAATATATCTAATGACTTTTAAAAATAATTTAATTTGAAGAAACCACATAGAAGTTAACTTGTATTGAGCTCCTGTGCCCTTGTATGCACTTTAACATTCGTCATTTGTCTACAAGATTCTACTTAGTAAGGGTGCATTCCAACTTGCAAGATCTCTTTACAGAACGCACGTTTTGAGATTTAAAACATTAATAATTATGGTAGAATGCCATGGAACCCAAAACAATTAAATGGTGGTCTCCTAACTCCCCTTTGATCTCGAGCTCTTGAGCTATAATTGATACTAGATCAGTTACAAGGTATAAAAATCCAAATTAGTTTTATCTTTACTCTTTCAGCAATCTCTTATACTATCCTTGGGGGTGTTTCACAAAACTTGTCATCAGTGACAAATGACGGTTTTTGTTATAAGCTACTGAAATCCTTGCTTCTGATTGGTTATCAGCAGATTTGTCACTGATTTTTGTCATTTGATATTTGTGAAACGGACCTCTGGTGGTTTCCATCTCCCTGTAGTCAATAGCAACCAATCAAATGCACCGTAAAGTACATTGAAATGTTTGTCCTATATCGGTGGAATATTTGTAATGATCGAGTTGATTTGTCTGCAGCTTATTAGAATGATTTAGATACTCTGTAGTTCATGTGTTTTTTTCTCAGAAATGTTCATTTTATCTCCTTGTATTTACATCCTATGCTTCAGAGAAAAGATGGTAATTGGTTGATTGAAAGAGACTAAATTTACTTCTCTGTCAGATTCAATATGAAACAGTAGTTTAGGCCAGTTTTTGAGAATGTCATAGGAGAAATATTTCCTGAAAAGGATTGCTCAAATGTCCTCATATTCAAAATATGAATATGATTTTACAAAAGTAGGTCATATGTTTAGACCAAACTTGTATACCCCATGGGTATGTAGTTCCTGTAGTCCTTTTTACCCATATCTGTGTACTGTGCATTTTCAGCAGGACTGAAAAAAAATTCTGTTCATTTTGATCATTCAAAACCTCAAATTATAAATGTCAAAACCCTTATGTAGATCTACCTCATTTTGCGATTGGCTGGACTCACAATTTACAGCGCCCTCACCGGCAGGCCGCAACGGGCCATTTTTTTCAGCTTGCGGGATGACACGTTGGTATGCATGAATCTCGGTTTGTTCGACTCTCGGCTCAATCCCCTACTCCATTTTTGCTGATCTAACCTCATTTTTCTAGAGCTTTTGCAATCTTTCATTTTCCTTTTTTTTTGTTTTTTATCTATCTTACTTTTTTTTAACCTTCTCTAATGTTTCTTCTTTAATAAAAAGAAATCTCCTTCCCAAAATCACTCCCTTATTGTTACATATTTGTTAATTTATTGATTGTCTATGTAACCATGTACTTTATTTTCAAGACGTATTGTAAAACATCATCTGATGAACTAATATTTCAACAAGCTCTGCTTCTATTTAGTTTCCCTCTTCCTGTGCCATTACTATCATTTTTGTTTGTTTCATTGTATATTTGTTGTAAAGTACATATATTAAATTGCAAATAATTAGTCCAATTTTATTGCAATATGTTTTGCATGAGAAATAAAATCATTTGAATCTTTCAAAAGTGCAGCACAGCAAAACGCTAGCGACTTATCGAAATGACTAAACTGATCGGAACTGTAGGATAATTTCAATAGGATTTATTGTTCGGATATCAGCGCACATTTTGATACGGACTTTGGATGTCAAAACCCACCCATCAATTGACTCTGACTGAAAATGTAGCCTGATTTTGGACCAAAATCAATAGAAATTCTCATTTTGGGCCAAAAAGTGACCCAAATAACCAAATTGTTGTTGATGAGGGTCAATTTGAACACTTTTCTAACATCAGAACATTTTACATAGAATATGACGATCAAATCTCCTTTGATAATATTAATAGCGATTGGAAAAATTGACAAGTGGTCCAAATGATCTGATCATGCCACCATGAGAAGGGCCAATAATCTTACCCCGGATAATCTGTTCAAATATTTCCCACCAAAAATTCTGATTAAATCAAAGGGGTTATACCACAGCTGATATTTGTGTCGACATTTTCCCATAATGCCCCTGAGATCTATACAAATATGAGGGAGGCAAAATTATTATACATAAGGCTTGCGGGTGCACCATGTGAGAGAGAGGGAGGATTGAGGGGTCCTGAAAAGGACTGTCGGTAATCTTTCTTGTGGGTTTGTAGTCCTGAAATGGACTGTTTGGTATATTTCTTAGCTTATAGTTCTAAGGAGAACTATAGCGCTTGGAGAGGATGAGTAGCGGGAGTGGCTCGACGTTTCGAACAGGTTGACTGTCCGTCGTCAGGAGTGGAGAATAGCTGGCGTGCTTGAGGTTTCATGTTGTAAGGCACAAATAAAAAAAAAAAAGAGTATGAGATATAGCTGGGGTACATTGAAAGGGAGAGAGAAGAGGGAGAGGGATGGGAAAAGGGGAGCCAGGGTGCATATGTGGTGGAGGCAAATAAAGAAAGGGAGAAAATGGGTATGACAATGATTATATAAAATAAGTGGATGATTCATGACAGTACAAATAGAAGGAAGACAGAAATGCAAGACTGAAAGACTGAAACAAGATGGTTGGTAGGTTCTTAAAATGCTCTGCGATAACGGATTTAAAGGTCTAGTTCTCTCTCTCTCTCTCCCTCTCTCTCTCTCTCTTTATCCCTTCCCCTTTCTCTCTCTTTCTCTCTCTCTCTCTCTACCCCCTGTCTGTCTTTCCACTTTCCTCTCACTCCCTATCACTCACTCTCTCTCGTACCCGCCCTCTTCTCTCTCTCTCTCTATCTCTGCCACGCGCACACACACGCAACAACTCACGCACATACACGCGCGCACACATACGCACACACACACACACACATATATATGTATATATATATACATAAATATATATATATAATTCAATAAATAAATAAATAAATAGTCTTGAGGTGGTTCACGAAAAAGAAATTGAGAACCAACTGGGAAGAGAACATAAAATCCCGGAGTGGAATGACCTTGCAAGAATTTGCCAGGATAGCAGACGACAAAAATGTGTCGAACAAGGTTGTAATCAACCTCCAAACTCACTTGTAACTCACTTGTAACTCACTTGATCCAGGGTTTATCAGTCTTTAGACTGTTGTTCCTATCAATGGTCTTTTTGATTGGGGCTGAAAAGATACCAAAATAGATAGAAAGACAAAATGTAATATATTCCCCACATCTACCATGCAAAATTGCCTTTCATTTTCCCCCTTCAATAAATAGGTCTAGTATTATAATGTTGTGTTATATGCATTTTTTTTTCAATTGCTCAACTCATCGTTAGCTGTGCAACAGATCGATTTGGAATAAATATAGTGCATATAATATGTGTATAATTAAAAAAAATTAGTAATTGATCAAACCCGCAAATTAACCAAAAAAGTATTTATTCTAAATTCATCAAATTTAAAAAAATGACATATAAAAGAAATACTTTTACCCAAGAACACAAAAACAAGAACCATATGGTACGGTTTGATGTTTACGATTTAATAGGGTGTTCGTGAACCTGTGCTTACATATTCTAGTCACGCGATATCGACTGCGAGAATTCTTATTAGCACATTTCACGTCAGGGGTAGTATTCTGCAAACTATGTTAACTTCTTTGTTAATTTGTGTTTAGGTTACGCCCCTGAAAGGCCCTTTTCCAATGATTCTCCGATGAGAATCCTTGTTGGTATATACGCTCATCTAATCTCATTAAATGTAAGATCACCGGTACTTGTTTGACATCTTCAATTCATATGCACTACCGTACAGTGGCGTACGCAGGATTTTTGTCAAGGGGGGGGTTAACATTTTGAAATCGGGCCAAAAATTTCGCAACGACTCAGCCAGCCGTTAAATAAGCGGGGTGGGGGGCGTCAATTTAGAAAAAAGAAATCAAAGGGGGGGGGTTTCCAAAAAACATACCTATTACAAAAAATGAAGGGGGAGGTTTAACCCCCCCCCCCCCCCCCCCCACTGTGTACGCGCCTGCTACCGTAGGCTGAATATTTAAGAAAAAATGTAGCATGTAAAGCTATGGCATTCCTTTTTTTTTATGAGTATATTTTTGCGCCATTACGGGCTATATCTCATGACATATGGAGGAAATACATTTACCCAAGAACACAAAAACAAGAACCATATGGTACGGTTTGATGTTTACGATTTATTAATGTGGTCGTGAACCTGTGCTTACATATTCTAGTCACGCGATATCGACTGCGAGAATTCTTATTAGCACATTTCACGTCAGGGTTAGTATTCTGAAAACTATGTTACTTATTTATTTATTTATTTCTAATATTTCGACAGGGTAGCCCATTCACCAACAAGTAGTGGTCTTCCATGGGCCCTGAATGAACATATTTACATCGTTTATAACATTTATACAGAACAGTTACAAAAATAATACTCGTTTGCAAAATAAATATAATCATTAACCTAGTAAACAGTAATGTCAATAGGAAAATATTAATTAAGTCGCAATTATGTGAATAAGTCATGTAAATATTACAGAACATGCACGTAGTGTATGTACGGCTGAGCCATTCACAAATTACAACCTTGTTTAAACAATCTCTTAAATGAATTGACGGAGGAAGCCGTTCTCAATGAATTATCTAGCTTATTCCATTCAGAAATGGAAGAAACAATTGGGCTACACTTATAACAATCAGTGTGAAATCTAGGCACACGTAAACATCCACTGTCTATTTGCCTTGTATGATGCTCATGTACATCATTAGGATTGATTAAGCCTACCTGAAGGTAAGAAGGTGCTAAGTTATGAACGCATTTATATATCATCATAACGCGACTTAACTCAAACCGCTTGTCTAGTGTCATCCATTTAAGACTTGTGAACAAATCAGCCGACGGTGTGTCATATGTCTTGTTCAATATTATTCTTGCGGCCCTCTTTTGAATTTTTTGCAGCTTAGTTGTATGAGAATGAAATCGGTTCGACCATACAACAGAGCAGTAATCTAATCGTGGCAACACTAGACTGTTATAAAGTAACTTTAAGGATTTTTGAGGCAAAAAACTTTTTGCTCTCTTTATCATGCTAATGTTTTTCTGGGTAAGTTTACTTACGTTTTCGATTTGTTTAGACCATTTCAATTCTTCATCTATCAAAAGTCCTAAGCATTTGGTGAATTGAACTCTTTTGATCAAATTGCCGTTTAATGAAATGGTAAAAGATTCAATTTTCTTGAGATGAGCAGGAGAGCCTATTAACATGACACAAGTTTTTTCAGTGTTAAGAACAAGACGATTTTCCTTAATCCATGCCATGACTCTGTTTAACGCAACAGTTAATTTTTCTTCCACAACAGTTGCATCATTTGCACTGACGGTAAGTGTCGTATCGTCAGCATACATATCTATGATACCTTCAGGAGTACATTCAGGTAGACTATTAACATATATTGAAAATAAAAGGGGACCAAGAATTGAACCTTGTGGCACACCTAATTTGATGGTTGATGGATGCGACTTGGCTCCTTTGAATTGGGTCACTTGTTGTCGATCCCCTTAATATGATTTGAACCAATAAATAGTCCTATTACTACAACCTATACAAGCTAGTTTATGTAGAAGTAGCTCATGGTCAACAGTATCAAAAGCCTTACGAAGATCTATGAAGGCAACTCCAGAAATTTCTTTGTTATCAATATTCAACGACCATTGATTTACAAGTTTTGCAAGGGCAGTAGCTGTTGAATGTTTAGGTCTAAATCCAGACTGATTAGGGTGTAATAATTGATTCACGTCCAAGAATTCACTGAGTTGTTGGTGGACGGCCCTTTCTATAATTTTACTCACGATAGGTAATATTGAAATGGGGCGGTAATTATTCAACGAAGAAATATCTCCAGATTTGAATATTGGTACTACCCGAGCCTTTTTCCATTCACGTGGAACAACTCCTGTAGACAGGGATTTGTTAATGATATCACAAAGAGACTCTGCGATAACATTCTTCGTCATCTTTAAAAGTTTACAGCTGATGTGATCTTCACCAGTTGCTTTATCTATACTCAGATTATCAATCTGTTTCAATACAAAATCCTCAGTAATCAAATTTAAATTAAATTGCGAATGAGTTGGACCAATATTATTGTCCTCGTCTACTCTCAGTTGAGACTTATTCCTTCGCGGTCCTTTGTAATCTTAGTAGCATTCGAAATGAAAAAGTCATTAAAAGCTTCAGCAATATTTGCATTGTCTGACACATTAGCACCATCAACATTTATGCTATTGGGAGATATAGGTAATGACTTAGGCACCAGGTTTCTCAAACATCTCCACATTTGCTTACTATTGTTATGATTTTGCGAGATCTGGTCTGCATTATATTCTCTTTTTCTTTTCCTCATGAGATGAATAACTGTAT